CAGAGAGGAAAGCTGACACAGCTCTAATAATAAAAGCAGTGATAAAGCAAAGAAGCCAAATGTGCACTAAATGCTGACTTATCAGGACTTTCTGCCTCTCTTAGGCCCCGTACACACGATTAGAATATTGGTCAAATGATCGTCTGGTTTTTTATTTTGTCTTTTTGCATGCTAGTCTCCTATCAAAAGTGAAGAGGTTACTAAAGTTACAAAAATTCTTGTACAACAGAATAAAAATTGAAAGTGATGTATTTGTATTGTATTTTTGGATGAAAAACTGTACTGATTAAATGAAAATCGTATGATCTGGTATCATACAAGAAACATTTTCATGCTTGTTCCTTCAAATAATTTTGGACGAAAGCTGTGTACTAACAATCAGAATATCATACGATTAATTCAAAAGTGGTATTTTTCATACGATTTTCTGATCGCGTGTACTAGACTTTATTTCCTACCTCTAGAACACACCCTGGCTTTAGGACAGAAACTGAATGGGAAACAGGACCCAGGATGCAATAAAAGTCTGAAAGAAGTTCTTATCCTTTCCCATTCTATGCAAAACAAAAAAAAAAAAAACATCCAGATATGCATAGGGAGAAGGCTTCTGTTGCCTCTAAGAGGTTGGACATTAGGTTTTAACCTTGTCTTTATGAAGGACAAAAAAGGTGATGAAGGGCAACTTGAAACGTAAGGCTGCCAATTCCAGGTCCTACTGTCTTTAAAAAAAAAAAAAAATTCAAAAATTAAGGATGTCCACCTTCTGATCCATAGTCATAGGAAGGACCTACTGTAGCAATACAAAGAAAAGCCCTTGAAGCACTGAGAGGAAGAAGTTCTTATCCTTTACTATTCCATGCAAGAAAAAAAAAACAAAAATCCAGATATTCATTGGGAGACAGTCAGTCTTTTGCTGATAGGTATAGCTGCTGCTTCTAGGAGGTTGGACACTAGGTTTTAACCTTGCCTTTATGAAAGACAAAAGGTGATGAATGTAAACTTGAATTATAAGGCTGCTATCTCTGAGGTTCGCCTGACTGAAAATAAGAAAGTCCACCTTCTGAGCCATAGTCATAAGAAGGACCTGCTGTAGCAGTTCAAAGGAAGCGCTTGAAGCACTGAGAGGTGGAATGATGTCAGGTATGGGTATGTGCTATGAAAGCTTGAAAGTCTTAAACTAGTAGATCTGGGGAGATATGTCCTATCTCAGGATACTAATCTTGACTAGGCTTATGCTTTTACATGCAAGGATATAGCCATTGAACCTAGGGATGGGAGCTATGCTCATCAGTAAAAGTTTGACTGTCTCCCAATAAACTGTTGGAGAAACAATTTTACTTTATTCATTTACACAAATACAACATTTTAAAATAATGATATTCATATATAAAAAAAATTAAATACTACTGTAAAATCAATCAAATACAAATAGTTTTATTGTCCAAATTCAGTCTAGCTGGAACAATTGTGTTCATTTAAAAAATTCACTTTGATTCACACCTAGACATTTTTAAAAAATAAAACTTCCTCTTCGCCAGTCCAATTTAACTAATTTCAATCCACCAAAAGGAAGTACACTTTAGGCTTTTAGGATGAAATTCATTATAATGTCTGGGAGAGGGTGTATATTGCTCTAAAATTTTACAGACGTGTTCCCTCAAATGGGACTTTTATTCACGTTTAGTTCTACCTACGTATAATTTCTGACTTGGGCACTTATTCTCATGTATAACCACTTTTATAGCACAGGTAATACATTATTTGATCTGATATGATTGTTGCACATTTGGGTAGGTGGATTGCTTCACTTTCTTTGTTTTAGATGTCTTCCCTCCTGCAGGCCATGCATGAACCACATCTACGATAACCCTTCTAACATTGATGGTTCATTAATGTCCCAACTGCATTCATAGGGCCCCTTTGTTTAATTTTTGGAGCATATTCCATCATCTCTGTGACTTTTCTCATGTCTGTGCTATAATGAAAATGTTTTCAAATCTGAAAATATACTGTACAGAGGACTAATAAGTTGTCCACAATCACCACTTTCTGAATTAAAATTCATGTGTCAAAGTCCCTGTGTTCTGAATTCCAGTGCCCATATCAGGTACCTGGTGGAGGAGCCAGACGTGATAAGGAAGGCCTCCCTTACACCTTTTGGCTCAGGGCCCTTGATAGAATAGACAGGTGACACAAGAGCGTAGAGTGGCACAAGTGCCTGTTGATCTTGCTAGCAGCAGAGCTGAGCAGGGTGTTCAAGCTGGAGCAGAATTAGGCCAGCAGTGGACCACAACAGTATGGACTGGCTGGGTGATGGCAGGTACGTTGCAGAGGTACGTTGCAGGCTGGAACCAACAGGTACTGGCTGGCAACAGACAGGTGAAGAACAGGCACTGACTGGTAGCATTCAGGTGATGAGCAGGCACTGGTGGATAGTAGGCAGGTGATGAGCAGGTACTGGTGGATAGTAGGCAGGTGATGAGCAGGTACTGGTGGATAGTAGGCAGGTGATGAGCAGATACTGGCTGGTAGCAGGTAAGTGCTTGGAATGGATTGCTAGGCAGCAGGTAGAAGAGTGGAGTCAGACATGCCAGGTCAGAGACTGGTAATCAGATCAGGTACAAGTACATAAAAGTACAGTAAAGTTGCCACAGGAGCAGGCAGAAGCAGAAGTCAAGCAAGCCAAAGTTATTGCAGGAAAAATTCAAGGGATGGTCAGGACAGTCCAGATAGGTACCCTATATCAGATGCAGGTAATGGGTCACAGGGAAATGCTGTAGACAGGACAGCACTGAACCCGAGCACTGGCTCAGATTAAATAGCCCGCCTGGTGCCAACATTAGTGACAAACGTGCATGTATAAGCAAGCGATTGTGGAAACAGATGAGCATGCGTACGTGCATGAGCATGTTCGCCTTTTTTAAGTGGATGTGTAAGACTGTATGCTGACTTGCGACTGCGCACAGAAATCAACCCAGAGGAGCCATCTTGCTTGCTGGCATGCCCTTCCTAACAGCTTCTCTAGTTGATTATATCAGCCTTTTTCAACCAGGGTGCCTTGAAGTTTCTTTATGGGTGCCTTGGAAAAATGTCTATAAATTGCCCGAAATTTATATACAAGACAGTGGGTGGAACAAGCCTACTTTTAGTTACACAAAGCCAGAGGTTTTCATTGTGCACCATTACAACCTAGCCGCTGGCATCCGAACAACCAATGACATCATCAGTTGATAAGGAGCATGTTGGTTGCCTGCACATCATCCTTGTTTGAGCCTCCCCTGTCCATCTACATCAGTGCTGGGGTCACATTAGTTGAGTGATGGAGAAAAAACTGAGAAGAGAAACACTGGACTACTACTCAGTACCAGTGTGCAAAAGTGTTTTTACTTTAGAAGAATAAAACCACCTCTAACATTTAGTGTCCTACATGTGTCGCTGTTGCTGCGTTATTAGAAAAGTTTTTTATATTTTAGAATGGGGTGCCTCGAGACTGTCTATAATTTTAAAGAGTGTCTCAAGACTGTCCATTTTAAGGGGTGCCTTGAGGCTGTTCATAATTTTAAAAGGTGCCTTGACTGATAAAAGGTTGAGAAGCACTGGCTTATATTGTATATGATAAATGACATATGAGTGATTCTGTATGTCCGTAATGTAAACCGCTGTCACAGCTGAGCAAGAAACCTTAAAAATGGAAACAGTTGGTGGTTGGAATCATCATGCACGATATTTTCCTCACAATAACAAGATTTGTTTCTAGGAAATTGTAGCCAGAGAATGGAGTGATTAGAATGTTAATGAAAGTTGAGGCAAAAAAAGTTCTTCCTGGTGTTAAGTACATTGTAACAAACTTTGCTTTGTAAAATATGTCTTGTGTGGCTGGTTTGTAATAAGTTACAATACCTAAAAGATGAAATTCATATCTGAACATTTTGATGACATTCACACAATAAACAGGCAATCTATTGTGTACCAAAACAAAAATGATCATAGATAACCTTGGTAAACCTAAAATCAGCCTTACACTTTTTTTGCATATATTTTGACCTTTTCAAGTATCATTTTTGACAATTAGGCCAAGCCACAGTTACCCTTTGTGAATAGCCATTGTGCTCATTATCACCTGGACAAATTTTCCAACCTTGGAAAATCTTTGTAGTTGTTAAGAGAATGTTTTCTTTTTTCTATTGAAAAGGGAACTGCAAATATTAGATCGTTGCCCCAGATGGGTAGATAATAATTAATAGGCCACAACAGAATTTGCCTTCTAAAGCGGAACTAAACTCTCAATCAGCATTTAACTATTTTTAATCCTTATGCCACTAGCATTAGATAAAATAGATAGTTTAAAACAAGTAAATTTAATATACCTTCCTGTTTTTTTTTTTTTTTTTTTTCTTCATTTCTTCAGTTGCTTCCTGGCTTTTGGCCTAGGCCATAATGATGTCATACATTCCAATAGTCTTCCTGTTTTTTTTTTTTGTTTTTTTTTTTCTTTTATCTGGAGGAGGGGCCTTCTCAGCTAAGCACACCCTCCTGAATTAATTGCCACATGAATCATTTGCCCTTAGTCAAGATGGCTGCAGCTAGAAATGCTAGGGGGTGTTTTTCAAAGTGATTTCTCAACAAAATACAGCATGGAGACATGGATGGATGAGTGAGTTTGTTTTGAATATTAAAAATGCTTTTAACACTGTTTTCAGTTTGTGGCGGTCAAATACAGTTTAATTTTGCTTCACGACCATGCCTATTCTTCCCAATGGGAAAACATCCTCTTTGTAACCATCTGGGTGAAAAGTTGGCTTTATCCAGAGACAGGTTGCTGATCAGTGTCTGTATTTATTGGAAGACATTAACTGTTGTATGTTGGTATGTTTTTGAAGGTTCTCAAATTTGTTGGCAAGACTGACCCCACCAGATGGTTACTAAATACCTAATTTGATTTTGTGTTCTGCATTTTTTTTTAATTGATAACTTTATATATTTTTTCTGTTGTCATGCAGAAGCGATTCTATGGACCTCAGAAGAGGAAGATGATGTTCCTAGGACTGATCCGATTGGGAGTTTGGCAGAATTTCCGCAGAGCCTGGAAAGCTGGATTTGAAGGGAACCTTGAAGGGGAAGGTCTAATCCTTGGGGGTGTGTTTGTGATTGGCTCTGGAAATCAGGTGACTAACTAGTGTAAATAAATCATACTGATGAACTGTTGCTTATTTAATTATAGTACAATTAGCAGAATAGGTTATTCTCATGTTTTGCTGTGCAATAGTCACAACATGTAAGCACTCCCTGGACAGTACTAGCCGAGAAAAGGAGCACAGCTGTACTGAGGATGAAGTGTCCATATAGACACTGTGGCCTCAGTGCGCCTTGGTACATTGTACATGCTCTAGATTCATATACCTGTTTACAACAGATGCATGAATTTGCCACCTACACCAACATTTGTCATGTGGAGACATAGTGGAATTTTAAAGTGTCTTAGACCAGTGGTCTCCAAACTGTGGCTCGGAAGCTGGATGTGGCCCTATGCTTTGCTTTATCCAGCCTTGGGGCACTATTCTTCCAACTGATACAAGGCACTATTCCTCCCATTGACACCAACAATGGGTCATAATTCATACCACTGAACCCCAATAACAGGGCACTCTTTCTCCCACTGACACCAATGGCAGAGCACTGTTCTTCTCACTGACATCAATGATGGGGCACTATTCCTTTCCCTGATACCAACAATGGGGTAATATTGCTCCCACTAATACCAATGATGAAGCACTATTGCTCCCACTAATACCAATGATGAGGCACTATTCTTCCCACTAATACCAATGATGAGACACTATTCTTCCCACTAATACCAATGATGAGACACTATTCCTCCCACTAATACCAATGATGAGGCACTATTCCTCCTCCTCCTAATACCAATGATGAGGCACTATTCTTCCAACTAATACCAATGATGAGGCACCATTCCTTCCCCCTAATACCAATGATGAGACACTATTCCTCCTACTAATACCAATGATGAGGCACTATTCCTCCCACTAATACCAATGATGAGGCACTATTCTTCCAACTAATTCTGATCCATTCCTCCCACTAATACCAATGATGAGGCACTATTCTTCCCACTAATACCAACGATAGGGCACTATTCTCTCCACTAATACCAATGATGAGGCACTATTCTTCCCACTAATACCAATGATAGGGCAATATTTCTCTCACTAATACCAATGATGAGGCACTATTCTTCCCACTAATACCAATGATGAGGCACTATTCTTGCCACTAATATCAATGATAGGGCAATATTTCTCGCACTAATACCAATGCTGGGGCATTGTTTACTCCCTTTGACGCCAGAACATTTTCTACTCTCTGTGACCAAAGTCCAGCCCATATAAAGTCTGAAGGACAGAAAACTGGACCGTTGTTTAGAAAGCTTGCAGACCACTGTCTTAGGCCTCATACAAACACGGAGAATATCGGACGAATGATTGTCCATTTATTTTTGCATGCTAATCTCTAAAGTGAAGAAGTTACTAAAGTTACGAAAAGTTTCTTGTAACACAGAATACAACTTCGGAAGTGATTTATTTTATTGTATTGTAATGTATTCCTTTGTTTCTGGGCATGTGTGGACTTGGTTGCCTGATTTTTACAGACGAATACTGTACTGATTAAATGAAAATAGTTTGTTATGGCATTGTATGTTTGTTTAAAATTTTGATGCTTGTCCCTTCTGATAAGTTTGCATGAACTGTCGTGATTGGCTCCCGAAAGCTGTGTATGAATGATCAGATTATCAGGCGATTGTTTCGAAAGCGGTATTTTCCATCCGATTTTTCTCATTGTGGATATAGATCAAGGGTCTCCAAACGTATGGCCCTCCAGCTTTTGAAGTACTACAAGTCCCATCATGCTTCTGCCTCTGGGAGTCTTGCCTGTGGCTGTCAGAGTCTTGCAAGGCCTCATGGGACTTGCAGTTCCTCAACACTTGGAGGGAGTTTGGAGACCCCTGCTTTAGATGAATACTGATTGTAATGTTTTATCTAGAGGTAAAAAATCCAGCAAGAACCAAAAAAAATTATGAAGTCTAATTACAACTAATGAAGGGCTGAACACCCCCCTGTTCGGTTCGCGGTCGAACATTCATACCTACAGAATGTTCAACCGCGAACTTCAATCACAATTTACTGAGCGGTATCTTACTGCATCTCAGTATGCGGTGAGACACCACTCCGTTACTAAAATACCGCATGAGTTATATTATTAATTCATGTGGTATTTTAGTAGTAAAAAATTCATTATTGTTTCAGCTGTCAGTGGGGTTCCCCACTGACAGCTGAATATAAAAAGCATTGTCGCATTGCCTGACAAAAAAAAAAAAAAAATTGAAAACCGCGTGGGGTTCCCCCCCTCTATCCATACCAAGCCCTTCGGGTCTGGTATGGATTTTGAGGGGAACCCTCATGCCAAAATGTAAAAGAAAATGGCATGGGGGTCCCCCCAAAAATCTATACCAGACCCTCATCCGAGCATGCAGCCCGGAAGGTCAGGAAAGGGGGGGGATGAGGAGCACCCCCCCCCTCCTGAACCATACCAGGTCACATGCCCTGAACATGGAGGGGTGGTTTGGGGCGGGGGGACCACCCCCCCCAAAGCACAGTGTCCCCATGTTGATAGGGACAAGGGCCTCTTCCCCACAACTGTGGGCTGCGGTTATGGGGTCTGCGGGCGGGGGGGGTCTTATTGGAACCTGGAAGCCCCCTTTAACAGCCCCCCATATCCTGAACTCCCCCCCCATGTGAATGAGTATGCAGTAACGCTACCCATTCATGGAAAAGAAAAAAAAAAAAAGTGTAGTGTAAAAAAGACAGTCTTTGACAAGTCCTTTATTAAAAGTTAAAAATAAAAATAAATGTCTCTCGAAGTAGATTTAACGTCAATCACGATTCCCGCTGCTACCCAAAAAAAAAAAAAACCCTGCTCCGCTCGCGACACTGGCTCCGGCTGTCTGACAGCTGTACTGCGACTACAGTTCTTAAATACCCCACCTCCTTGTAACGTCATCCTGTGCTGTGATTTCTCAAAGCATTGCACCTGACCTATGGTCAAGTGCATTGCTTTGACCAATCACAATGCACTGTCAGGGCGCCGTGCATTGTGGGGCGCGGCTGGCGAACAGCCTGCTGAACGCCCGTATCATTCGTGTGTTCAGCAAACACATGAATGGTCAATGTTCAAGTTGAACATTCAGCGCAACACTAATTACAACACTATGTCAAATCAAGCGAAAAATGTGAAAATCAACTTAAAATGACTTTGTTCTTTAAAAAAAAACAACTTGAGGTGAGCACTCGGTGAAAACAGTTTACATTCCTGTGTGGTGTTGTGATTAGCCTTGTGTTTTGTGGAGTCTGGACAAAAAAAAACATATGCGCAGCACAGTGGCTTAATGGTTAGCACTTCCGCCTGGCAGTACTAGGGTCGTTGGTTTGAATCCCAACCACGACACCACCTGCCTGGAGTTTGCATGTTCTCCCTGTGCCTGCGTGGGTGTCCTCTGGGTACTCTGGTTTCTTCCCACATTCCACATACATGCTGGTAGGTTAATTGGATCTTGTCTAAATTGGTCGTAGTATGTGTATGTATGAATGCGAGTTAGGGACCTTATATTGTACACCCCTTGAGGGTTAGGGACTGATGTGAATGTGCAATATATATGTAAAGTGCTGCATAATAGGCTATTATCAATGGGGGGGTCTCTTGTTAGTGTACAGTAAGGGCAGAAAAATGTTAACCTTTTACGGTATAGGTTTGGCTACTGTCAAGCCACGACTGACAATTAATAAAGTAATAAATATAGTAGCGGGAGTTGTCAGCTATAAGTTCTCAAGAGTTCATGTGAAGCTGTAGGCTGACTAAAGTCACCAGATGCAGTGGGAGTTGGGTAGAGGTTACAAAGTTACCATTTGGGAATTGCTATTTATTTTTTAAGCTTACACAAAAAAATGTGTAATAGTTTAGTCTTTCTTTTTTCCTTTTGGAAAGTTGTGCTCATCAAAACCTTACCTACTCAACAATTGCGCATCAACATTGGTAGCAACAAAAATAAATGAGATACATTAGATACTGTTGCTACAACAATTCTATTTAGGTTGGGTTCAGACTATTTTGAGGAAGATCACCCACAAACACCCCTTGCTTTCCCTGTCCTCAAGGCACATCTTGTTTACCAAAAGCATTAAAAAACTGCTATAACAAAAGGATCTTCGGTGACTAATTTTTTCTTCACATTTGAGAACTGAGCTTATTATTATTATTTGAATGGAACTGAAGGAGTGTAGGGCTCCAAGGAGAAATACTTGAAATAACACGATTGTGTTACTTATAACATTTTGTTTCTCCATTTCCAGGGAATCCTTCTGGAGCATCGTGAGAAGGAATTTGGAGATAAGGCAAACTTGACAGCTGTACTTGAAGCTGCTAAGAAGATCAAGCAGTCTGGATCCCATTAAACGTGTGGAAGCTGCCGTAGCGAGTAGCAGTCTTTACGCTCTGGCCCCCTGGCCTGTCTTTACATGACGTTCTGTGTGGAACAAGAATTTACAGATGTTATTTATTTTTCTGATGGCATTCATTTTTTGTTTTATGGGCTAATTCATTAAGCAGTGCAGAGAACAATGATGTGAAAAATGCAATAACCCATATTAACCATATTAATCAGATTTCTGTTTGCTATAGTCCAGTTAAATGATTTCTGATTGGCTGCTGATGGAAAATACTCTTTTTTGCATTATTGCATTTCTTTGTATTTGCTTACTGAATAGTCCTGTATGTGGAATGCATGCTATACTTGCTGAGGTTAATTTATGGAAGCTGCACAAGAGGCTTTTGTCCATTGCATCTCATTTGTTTCCAGCTGTGATTTTTCCATTCTCTATATTACAAGAAAACAAAGATTTATAACTTGGGGTAAAATATGTTTTTTTTTTAACTGATGGGGGAGATGGGTTTGGAGGGCATGTGCAAACGCTACCTATTTTTATTTACTACTGCTGAGATTCACAGCAGTGCAAACTTCCAAATATTTTTAAATGCCATACTACCAGGCAAGCTGCATGATGGAAGCGCTGGGTATTTTTAATATATAGTAGAAAAAGAAATGCCACTTCAGCCCCTATGCAAAGGTATAGATGCAGTGCTGTATTAGCAGCCCTGGAGTCTAAACCGGGCTTCTTCATAGAAAAATCAGGTTACAGAGCCTAGATATTTTCATGAGTTAGCATATAATTGTTATTGCGGGCATTTGATTAACATGTATAAGGTGTGACAATTTAATTCCTGGAATGCCTGTGGTGGTGTAGCACTATTGTGGTGAATCACACAGCCATTCGCACCCGAGTGTGTTCTGACATGTTCCAACTTGCACTCATGTGGGTCACAGACCAGTTTACAGAGTTGTAGAAGAAATAACGTGTGTTTGTGTGTGTGTGTGTTGCACTGTTGGTGGAAAATGAGTGACAGAAATCTGGAGAAACGGATTAACATCAAATTTTATATGTGAAAATTGGCAAAAGTGCAAGTGAAACTTTAGCTTTGTTACAACAGGCTTATGGTGAGCGTTCTCTGAAGAAATCAAGTGTTTTTTGAATGGCATAGGCAATTTAAGATGTCCATGATGACACAAGATCGGTCAACCAACATCGTTACTTGGAAATTCTGAAACGTTTGTGGGAATCTGTTTGGGGGGGGAAAGACCAAAACTGGCCTGACAGGTAGAGTCTCCGCCACGACAACCAGGGCTGCTGTTAGAAACCACAGGGCCTCAACTTGAAAGGCCCCCCCCCCCCAAATAAACACAGTTTACTATGCTTCAGTTATGAATGAACGCAGTGAGTGATCGGCACCGATCACTCATTGTGTTCATTAAGGAAAGGAAGGAGTGGTAAATGCGATCTATTTATCAGATGCTTCCCTCACTCTCCATCCTGAAGGATCCTATTGTGTGCTTGCAGCTGCCGCTGGGAAGGAGAGGAAGGAAGCCGGCAGCACTGCAGGGGTAAGTGGGCCACACAGGGGGGCCTGGGCGGCAGGGGAAATGTATGTTGCATGGGGAAGGGTGATCAGTGTGATGAGGGGGCAATTACTGGAACAGATCCCCTGTTTGGCTCTCTCTGCAGCAGCTAATCCGACAGGAGGGAGAGGAGAAGAAGCCAGCTTTCAGCTGCTGCAGAGAGAGCCATACAGGGGATTGGTTCTAGTAATTGCCCCCCCTCCCGGCTGTGCTGATCACCCTTGCCCACATCCAATTCACTCAGCTGCCTGGGCTCCCCTGCTGGCCTGGGCCCCTTACAGGAGGACCGCTAGTACCCCCTCATCCACAACCCTGATGACAATGCTCCTGCACATGATGCATTAAGTGTTTACAAGTTCACAGACCAGAAATCCCTTCTGATACTTGACCAACCACCTTATTGCCCTTACTTAGCACCCTGTGAATCATGGCTGTTTCCAAAATTCAAAAATGCCTTAAAAGGACACCAATTCGATCACATTCCAAACATCCAGCGCAAAGCGTGACAAAGATACTGCGCAACGTTCCAGAAAACGAATTCCAGGAATGTTTCCAGCAGTGGCACAGTCATCTAGAAAAGCTTGTCGTTTCACCAGGTGACTACTTTGAACGTGACAACAGTCGGTAGTGTATAGGTAAGCAAACTTTTTTTTAACTGTCCATTCCAGGAATTTAGTTGTCACACCTCGTATGTCAGGGCAATATATAAAAACATATGCAGTACATCTCAGCAAGACATGCACATTTTCTTATATTTTATAGACTGCTCGTACAGAAAAAATACCTGTTAAACTACCAGACATGTATTTTTTGGGGGGCTTGACAACACACAGCATTTTTATGGACTGATTAATGTCAACCTGTGGTTGAAGGGATGAAAATTGCGTAATGTATGGCCTGCCTAACTACTACTAGCTATACAATAACCTGGATAAAAGAGAACCTGCACAGCCAGTGGTATGTGATTATACCAACCTGACTTTGTTACCTTACCCCAACCAAAATAGTCTTCCTTTTATGTAATTTTTTTTTTTAATTCTAGAAACTTTTTTTTGATGGGAGAACTGTATGCATTTTTATTATTGGTAACATTATTCTTAAGCTTGAAGTGAAATTTTTATTGATCGATAAAACAATTACTTTCAGGTGAACTGTGCACATACATTTCAAGAACTTTAGCAAACTGCTTTGCAGATTCTTACTGGCTCCTCTTCTGAAGATATTATTCTAGACTTTTAAGTCCTTTCTCCAGCTAACTGCCAAGTGGGAGGGTCTGTTGTAATAAACATGGCAACAGCTCCATATATTAAAAACCTTTGAGGGCACGCCACCCAAAATGTAATTTGTATTGCAGGGGATGCCTGTAATTTTGACTTCAAACTGCAAGGAAAAGCAGTTAACCAATCATATGAGTAGACTAATTGCAGTATTGCAGAAATATAGTTAATACAGGCTGAAAAAATGTTACATTTGGAAATTTGTAATAAAATTTAATTACAATGTGGCTTGTGTAGCAGTTGTATATGTTAGAACGATGTTTGAACTAACAGTTTTCCTGTAAACAATGCCAATGACATTACAATAAAGAGAAATTTTGACACTTTTTAATGTAATCTGTGAGTTAAAACATATGTGTGGTATGATGTATAATTGAGCACCCACAGTGTCTACATATACAGGGATCAGTGAGGGCTTGTTTTGAAGCTTGTTTACTGTTGAGTTGGCCCAATGTTCGAGCCATTTCATGTAGTATTACGACTGCTGTGATATGGGAAACAGCTAGCACCGTGGTGGTAAGCATTTTAATGAGTCGCACCAATCTGAACTGTGGTTACAGGCTTTCTGGCCCACTTTATTAATCAAACAAAAAGTAAGGTCCAACACAATGGTTGCCCATGCACAGTCAACCGAAAATGCTAAGCCACCTGGCTCCTGTCATCAACACTGCTGCTCTTGGCACTCTTCCCTTAGACCCAGCTCTCTAACCTCCCTGGCTCCCTGGCTCATCAACACTGCTGCTCTTGGCACGCTTCCCTTAGACCCAGCTCTCTAACCTCCCTGGCTCATTCAACCTTCGTTACAGCACCTCACTGCACGGGCCCACTCCTTGCTTCTAGATAGGGGATCTCCTGGCACCCTGGGCTCTCTTGCCATACTTACAGACTCCCTGCAGTCCCCTGGACTTGGTAGTTGCCTCAGCTCTCTCAGTCCTGGAGACTCAGTTGTCCCAACTCTCCCTGTCCCGCGTGTAGGGAACCTCTCCCACATGGGGTTTTGTCTCCTGAGTGATTCACCTCTCATGGCTGGAGCACATCTCTATCTTCAAACAAGGGCACTGCCTCCAAATAAGAGCCTTGGGCTATGATCAAGCCTGGCTGGCCAGTCTGCACATCTCTGCACTCACATGGTCTCCAAGTCTCCAGCAAGACTCTGACACAGGATTGAAGGCTCCAATCCCACCCAAGACACTCTGAAGCCTTCAAGCTCCAGGCCACAATCTGGGATTACAAAACCTGGAGAACATTGACAATCCCGTTTTCTCCATTGAAAAAAAAAACAATGCTCTGAAGCTTCACACACTGCCCTAATAAGAAACCTCTGCATCTTTTTCCCTATAATCATGGTAGCAGGGCCTAGCACTGTCACACTACCTATTGATATGGTATGTACCTGGATAGGAAACCGTATACAAGAGTGCATCCAGAGGGTAGTAACTCATTGCATATTTTCTGAATGGTTTAGAGGTGTAAGCAGAGTATCCCAGGGCTTGGTCATGGGACTAAATTCTGTGTAATTTGTTCATAAATTATATAGAGGCTGAAATAAATAGCTTAATCTCCATATTTGCTACAAAACAGAGAAGGGCACAATGCTAATAAGGGACCTCAATTATGAGGAACTACTACAAACACTTAAGCTTATTCTCTCTGGAAAAGAGATACTTAAGTGTTGATATGATCAAAGTACACTAATCTTTGAATGGTGACACTAGCCTTGAAACAAAGATATTTAACCTAAGGTCTCTAAAGAATACACACAGCCAGGGGCGGACTGACCATTTGCAAACTCGGGTACTGTCCGAGGGCCCGGGCTCAGTAGGGGGCCCCATGAGATGCCCCTGGTACTTTTTTCATAGGCTTTTTTCAGTTTGGGCAAGGACACAGGGGCCCCATGATCCCCTATTGCCCGGGGGCCCCATGAGTTGTCAGTCCGCCCCTGCACACAACCACACAATGAAGTTGGGCAAGGAGCGGTTCAATCTTAAACTGCGTAAGGGGTTCTTTATTGTTAGAGTGGTAAGGATGTGGAACTCCCATTCACAGCTGGTGGTGTCAGCAGGGAGTGTAGAGAAATTTAAAAAAAAACACACTTAGATATGTTTCTTCAGAACACAGTGTGTTACTGTGTGTAACTATGTAACCTCTTCACGGGCCCTACAAA